TTTACATGTATATATGTATATCAAATTTCTTATAATGTCAAATTTTCCATATGTAAATTGAATTAAATAAGTATGCTGTTTTTTACGTTGCATAATGTGTGCTGTCCTTGTTCCACAAGCATGGCCCGATATATTATGATTACTTGCAAGTTCATTGGTTCCTTTTGAAATTTCATCTTCTGAAACTGATAAAACTTACGAAGAAAAGTTAAAACTCATTTGTCTAAAAAAAAAATAGTTTCTAAAAAAGCTTGTTTCTATAAATAACTAGATTTACCTGATGATTGCTTACTTCATTGGACGATGTCATTTCATCATCATTGTAACACCCATGGACGTCCTCATCAACATTACCATAAACAACAACATTGTCATCAACATGGTCATCAGTTTAACATATCACACGTCAATCATCCGTATACCTCATATGCCAACTATCAATTATTCATATGTGTATTTTGTTTTATATCATAACCTAATTATCTATGACAATGTTTTATATTTAACTCCTACACTGCTGAAACCAGTAATCTGCCATTTGCTACCACTCTAGTATAGAGCCAGGACATCACGCGCATCAGACTCTATACTGTTGTAAGCTTTTGATTTCAAAATCCTTTTAACTTCGAATGGAATATTCCAATGCAATGCAGGACAAAACCATTAAACACATTCCGTAAAATCATGGCATTTAGTGAAACAGCATTTTACATCAACTTAAAACATTTTTGCCATCTAAGTATCGTTGACAAACCAGTTCTCAAACCTCTAAGCATTCAAGACGTCTTTTAATATAAACAAGAACATATCTTAATGAAAATTCTTTACATATGTACACTTTAATCTTTATTTCACATTTCTGTAAAATTTGGCTGAAATTCAACAATTAAAACAGCTCTATTTCCATCCCCCCTTTTGTAAAACTGACATGGCCTCTTAAAATAAAGAACCTTATCTCAAACCAATTCGAGTATCCCCTAAATTCCTGTTTTATTTGGGCCAAATGAATTAAGTGATTGTTTTTTTTATATCACAAGCAGGGGAAAGGGAAACCCCAAAAAAAGGAAAGCAAATTTAAAACCCCTTGGCTATTAAAAAAAAATTTTTTGGTTTCACAAATTTTAAAGGTTGTTCTTTACCAAGGACCTTTAAACCAAAATGTAATTAAAAACAAATTTGTATGGAAATTAAAAAAAAATTAATAAAATATGTTTAATGTAAAATGTTCCCATGCCACTGTTTTTCATTTTTGGAAATAAAACAGACCATGGTCGTCAAGAAACCCAAAACTTTTATTTTTAAATTTTCAAACCCGAAAGGGACAAAACAAGTTTAAAAAATTTAAAACCTTTTTTTTTTTTTGGGTGAATAGGTTTGGGGGGGTGAGATAAGGTACTTATACGATGTCTATAAAACAAATAATTCTTGCCTTTCCAAAACATTTTCAGTATTGCGTATATATCAGTTATTTTTATGCTTTTCAGTGGAGTACTGATTTATCCGTGAAAATTATATTTGATAATTTCACAGTGACAATTATCAAAATATAATTTCACACTTTTCAATGACGAAACTACTTTTTTAAGGTTTTCCCCATGTGGTACCTCAATTTTATTTTTGCTGACAATTCTGACAATGTCAGGCTGTTAAGAGAAAAGCAAAGCTGAAATTGAAAAATAACTTAAATGTCAAAGTAATAAAAAGAAGAAAACTTACTTCTATTCATTCAAATTACCAATCACCGAATCACAGACACTTGGAGTAAAGACCCCGCCCTTCTCCGCCTCTGAATAAAAAAAAACACTAAAAGTATTATTTATTAGATGGCTACAATGGTAAGTAAATATGAAAAATGATCATAATGGAAAAAAATACCGTTAACTTTGATCGAAACGTCACATAAAAAATTAAAAGTTTAACATGTATAATATTATATGATTAATGCTAATTGATAATTAAAGTCCTTATTCATGGAAAATTTAACTTTGTGTCAAACAAATTATACCTGCGAAAAATATTTGATTATTTACAATAACATTTCCCAGATTTTCTGTAAAATATTTACATTTTCTCTTTTAAAAAAAGGAACGCTTTCTTTCCTGATTTTCATGTGTAATAATATTACGGTTCGGCTACATAGTTTTAATAGAATATAAAATAACTTACATTTTTATTGATAATTAGTTCTTCGACGTCCTAAAATAAAAGAAACAATTCCAAACCTCCCATACTTTCGTTTCCGTCACATTCCTCTCACAAACTTCACGCAAATGTAGCTAACGGTAATGTGCATGGAAAATCACCCGACCATTAATCTTGAGCGCTCGGGGACAATCTTGTATGTTTAACCACTGATTGATTCTCACCAAAAAAACTTTACTAAACAAATCCGTTAAAGACGCCAGCAATACATTTTCCGATCTCTTGTCAGTCACACGATTTAATTTGCTAAGTATTTATATCTGCCTGAATTATTCGGAAGGACCAAAAAGTTAACGTAGTTGGCACACCAACACGTGACATGCGCGAACATTTTTATTCGTCATTCGAGCATTAAGACAAAAGAACAAAAAATTATTGGAAGTGGTATCAAAATGAAATATTGAAAGAAGCTGGGACCTTAAAGTTAAAAACGGTTTATAATATATAACTTTGTTAAGGTATTTAATTAAAGGAGCTCCACTGAGGTCCTAAAATCTAAACACATAAAAAATACATTCTTACATAGATAAACTGCCTGGACATTTAAAACGGACACATATGCAAAAGATGTTAAAAATATATAGAGGATATTCAAGATTTTTCTTTATTTTCATCAAGTGATATGAAAATAAATATTTCATGAGTGGCGGTAGCCACGAGTGAAATGTGATAATTTTCATGCCACAGGATGAAAATAAATCATGTATTTATAGAATAAAACTTGAATTTTCTGTTTATTATATACATTTGTCTCTATTATTAAATTACTATTTGGAAGACTATTCCTTAAATTTTGTGTACTGGCAGAATTTAAAAGAAAGTAGTCCGGCAAGACACCAGTGAAAACACGGAAAAGATGTTTCACTAAAATACTTTTTACAGTGAAAATACGAAAATGAAAATAAGCATTTTATTTCATCAATATTTCTCAATATTTCATTTATAGGTATAATTATAATAAATATATATACTCAGATTTGATTTAAATAAAAATTCTATTTTGTCACGGATGTTAATTACAATGTAATATATAAATCCGCGATTTTGTGTAATTCTTGTCCGATTTGGGTTAAAAGCGTTTAACCACTTTTCATTTTTGGGTCATTTTGCACTTATAATGGAGTGAGCGAATAATCTGAAATCTTGCACACAAGTTACAAATGTAGGCCTATGGTTTAGACGTGCATCAAATAGTATATAAATCTCAAAAAAAGATATTACATATACCAGTTTCGTCAGAGCAATAACGTTTATCAGAAATGTAGATTTATATATATCTCTGCGTTAGTTTAAAAAAAATCATACCCTGGTTTGTATATTTTAACTGGAACAATTATATATTTTTGATCCCAGATTTTAATTAGAATAGGAAAAACATTCGTGACATTGTAACAAATGTGAACAAAAAAGTAAATAACATGAACACTGACTTATTTCAAAAAAAAAAATCAGGCTAGAATAACAAAATTGAAAAAAAAGAGAGAAACAGATTGCAAAAGTAGAAAATAAAAAATATTCATAAGATTGTTCAAAATGCAGCGCCTATATACGGAAGCGTCCTGGTGCCATTTTAACATGTTCTATAAAAAGAGATAACTCCTACGTAGGACTTTGTAAGTCTTACGTAGGACTTTATATCTCCTACGTAGGACTTTATAACTCCTACGTAGGAGATATAAAAACCTAATTAGGAGTTTGAAAGTCCTACGTAGGACTTACAAACTCCTACGTAGGACTTTATAACTCCTACGTGGGAGATAAAAAAAAACCTAGTAAGGTGTTTTAAAGTCCTACGTAGGAGTTTTAAAGTCCTACGTAGGAGTTTATAACTCCTACGTAGGATTTTATAAGTGTTCCTCTACGTAGGAATTATAAAGTCCTACGTAGGAGTTATAAACTCCTAATTAGACCTTTCTATCTGAAATGGACTTCGTAAACGGACTTCGTAATACGGAATAATTTGGGGATTTTCTCAAAACAATAATGCGAGGAAAATAAAGTAATCAGTACGCTAAACATTTATTACAGCGGTTATTGTACATGTATATGCTTTTTATAATATTTCTATCAACACATTAAAGAAGAAGAGAATATAATCATAATTTATATAAAGACAAAAAAAAAAAGAATACAAGTTTCCTAATTCATGTATTCTTTGTTGTAGTGCTAATTTTTCAACCAATGACCAACATGCCATTACGTTTTGAGTGCTGTGAAAGCAAGACTAATTGTAAATGTCATTACTGCTGTCCCTGCTGACGCCAAGTTGGGGGAGGGGGGGTCTCCTGTAGAGAGCGTGATTGTTTCTTATTTGATTCACAATCCCTGCGATGAGCCGGTCGATTACATTGACCTGCTGCAACATTTGTTACACCCGGCACTCGTCGTATGTATATTTGTATAAATATCACTGTTACTAAAGTATGTATAAAATGTAGAAACGCTTCAGTGTGAAATTGCGCGAAATTATCGAGCGTTAGAATTATAAATAATAGTACATATATGTTATACCGACTAACATTAAACCCTAGGACCTCAAAAGTTGCCTATTTTATTTACAGCTACACCTTTGAGTGGGAAAACCTGTCTATTATACGTGTGTCGTCAATTTTTTTTGTTATGTTAAACAACTGTGTTTCTTTTCGCTGCAACACTATACTGTTTGCATCGTATTTAGATTTTTAGAATGAACGCTTGTAGGCGAAGGCTAACTTTTAGCACTTCCTAATTTAGTTCAATCCCCGCCAGATGCTTAAGAATATATCAACCGTACATGGTTATGTTTAGTTGCCGTAATGATGCCACCTCTAGACTCTGTACGATGCAGCGGGGGTGTTGCACTCTATATTAGAAATACAATAGTAAATGGCGTGTCGATCGTGAGAAATCATTTTGACAGTATTATATGGCTAAAATTGGATTACTCGTTCTTTCAGTTGGACAGTGACATTTTTGTTTCTGGTATTTATTTATGGCCAGAAAATTCTCCCATGTATAATTTATTAGATGTCGACTTTTTCACATTATTGCAAACTGATATTAATGATTTTCACTCACAGGGCAAAGTGTTTATTATTGGTGACTGGAACTCACGCACGGGCGCTCGTGCAGATTATATTGTATGTGATCGTAACATTGATTTTATTGACGATGACAACTATTTACCTGATATTCCCTTGTCACGTGACTCAGTTGATAACGTTTGTAATATGTTTGGTTTAAAATTAATTGAGCTATGTAAATCTACGTGCTTGCGGATTGCTAACGGTCGATTATATAATAGTAATGATTTTACATTTACTTGTCATACAGGTTCAAGTGTTATTGACTATTTGTTATTGTATAATAGTGACATGTATTGTGTTAACGATTTTACAGTCCACCCTTTTTGTGAATGGTCAGATCATGCCAAGTTATCATTTAACATTTTATGTAAAACAGCAATTGATGTAATTGACGATGTGCATATTAAGAGAACCCATGTTAAGTGGAACCCTGATCTAACGGAAAATTTCCGTAGAGGTATTATAGGAAAACTGCCGGACTTTAATCGGGTTGTCAATGATATTGACAATAATAATCCTAGTACAATAGACGCTAGCATTGTCAATTTTACGTCAATTATGCGAGAAATCGCTGATCCATTATTTAGTAAAACTATAAATCGTGTACAATATCCCTACAGTTATAGTGACCATAACCCACTTTGTAAACAAGCAGACTGGTTTGACCAGGACTGCCGCAATGCGCGCAATGCTTATATAAACGCATTAAACAATTTTTATCGGGTAAAATGTGTAGAAACACGTCATGATATGTGTACGAAAAAAACAATTTATAAACGACTTATTCGAAAGAAAAAGCGTGCGTTCGAAGCAGCGAAATGTCGTCAAATTGTAAATTTACGTTCTTCTAAGCCCAAAGACTTCTGGCGCCTGTTTAACAAAAAGAAAAATAATCCTGCGCGTTCTATCGATTTGGATGATTTTTTTAACTATTTTTCGTCTTTGCAGGAAGATCTTGTATCTGAGAATGATCTAGAATCTGATACATTCTGTAATGATCACGATTTTAACGATACGTCTTGTACTTTCGCTGAACTGGATTGTCCTATTACAGTTGCTGAAGTTGAGTATGCAATTCGTGGGTTAAAAACTAACAAATCGTGTGCGGGTGACAACTTAATAAATGAGTATTTTATACAAACTGTTGATATTTTGAAGTGTTATCTGGTCGATATTTTTAATGCAATATTAAATACTGGTCACTTCCCTGCACAGTGGACAAAGGGTATTTTAGTACCGTTATTTAAGAAAAATGATCCTTCTGACGTAAACAATTACAGAGGAATCACTCTAGTAAGCTGTTTTTCTAAAATCTTTACGAGCGTAGTTAACAAGCGTTTAAGCGTATGGATAAATGATAATAACATAGTCAGTGATGCGCAGTTCGGTTTTATGTCTGGAAGATCAACTGTAGACGCAATTTTTATATTGAATGCTGTTGTAAATAAAGTTTTGAATGATAAAGGTAGATTATATTGTGGTTTTATCGATTTAAAGAAGGCTTTTGATAGTGTTAATCATAGTAATCTGTGGTATAAACTATATAAACTAGGAATCAATGGCAAATTACTTAGGATAATCAAAAATATGTATGCCTCTGTTAAAACATGTATCAAGGGATGTAACTCTTTCTCTGATTATTTTGAATGCGTGGTCGGTCTAAAGCAAGGCGAGGTTCTCTCCCCTGTTTTATTTTCTCTTTTTTTAGAAGATCTTGAACTTTTTCTGAATGATGACCCGTCGTGTGGTTTAAATATTGATGAAATCCTGTTAGTCATTATGTTGTTTGCTGATGACATGGTGCTTTTTGGTAATACTCCCGTTGATCTTCAATGCAAGCTTGACTTGTTAAAATTATATTGTGATCGCTGGGGTCTTATTGTCAATACTGAAAAAACTAAGGTTGTGGTTTTCCGTAAGCGAGGTAATATAAGACCTGACGAGCACTGGCATTACGCGAACTCCTCTCTTGAAGTTGTCGATAATTTTAATTACCTTGGCACTGTGTTTTCTTACAACGGCTCTTTTAAAGTAAACCAAGATACACTTATTGGTAAAGGCTTAAAGGCTTTAAATGTACTGCTGATTAATTTAAAGAATTTTACTATCGCGCCTTCAATTCAATGTCAACTGTTTGACGCTTTTGTAGGATCGATCCTTAACTATGCTTGCGAAGTTTGGGGCTATGGTACTTTTTATAATATTGAGAAAGTCCATCTCAATTTTTGTAGGCGTGTCTTAAATGTGAAGACATCCACTAGTAAACTAGCTATTTATAGCGAACTAGGACGCTATCCACTTTTTGTCAATCGGTATTGTCGTATTATTAAGTTTTGGTGCAATCTTGTGCAAAGTAAAAACATTATTTCAAATTACATTTATGCAGACATGGTGAATCAACTAAATAAAGGTAAAACTAATTGGCTTGTAAATGTTAAAAAGTTACTAGACAGTCATGGGTTTTCACATGTGTTTCACAATCCAGATTGTGTAAATCTTAAAACATTTCATCTATTGTTTAAAGAAAGGGTGCTTGATATTTTTAAACAATCTTGGTGTAACCAAATTGCATTGAGCGGCTCTTTGTTTTTATATAAAGAGTTTAAAAGATCAGTCGATTTTGAAATGTATTTGGATATTCTTCCTAGTAAGTTTAGAACTGTTCTATCTCGATTACGCCTTTCGTCTCATCAGCTGAATATTGAAGTTGGTCGGCATGGCAGAAATCGTGTGGATAGAAACCAGCGTTTATGTCTATTATGTGATAAAAATGATGTAGAGGACGAATACCATTTTGTGTTAATATGTCCGATTTATTTACACTTTAGAAAACGTTTCATTAAACCATATTTTTATAATAGACCAAGTGTTCATAAGTTTGTTAAATTGATGCAATCTTCTAATAGGCATACACTGCTAAATCTTGGTAAATTTATATATGAAGCTTTTGCATTGCGCAAGACTCTAGTTAATTGGTGATACAATGCAGTATATTTTACTAAGTTTTTGTTAAATATATTTTCGTTTTTGAATTTCAATACATTCTTGCAGAATTATAACAATCTATTGTAAACTCTTTAACTATACAACTTAACTAAAAAGCAAACTTAATTAAATATATGATATTATTGCAATTCTGTATGTACTGTACGATGGCAGGAATTTATATATACAATGTTCAACCTCCATTTAACACTCGTGGAGCGATAATAATCAATATTTCTTTTTCTTTTCATAGATTTTTTTTTATTTTTATTTTACACTTCTACTTTCACGTATACATGTATGTCAATGGAATTTGTATGATGATGATCTGTAACTGGTCAAATCAATAAAATGTATTGTTGTTATTGTTGTTGTACTAGATATTCGCAACCGTTTATTTTCAAATGATTCCGAAAGAAACTTTTTTTTCCAAATTTTCTCAGAAAATGTGTACAATTTCTATGAAATATAACTGGTAAAAGATCAGAAACATTAATATCAACATTACTTAAAGATATACTATGCTCAAATTTGATATTAGAAAATATTGATTGTTAATTGTTTGTAAATATAAAAAAACATGTTTTGACTTTACACAAAGTATATATGTTATCTTTAAAACTCTACACACCATAGGAGGCCACACTATGAATATATAGTGTCATTAGAAAAACTGGCGTTTTTTTTTTTAAGAAAAGACCAATTTTACTTGATCTTTAATAGAGAACGCAGTTTAGTTTATACATAGTTTATTCATTCTTTTATTCAAATTAGACATATTCAGTAAGAATTATGAAGATTTCAATAAATTTATGTGATAAAAATAATTTACTTAAGGATGAGCATAGTATATCTAAAAACTTACAATTACAGTGGTCAGTAAATATAATCTTATCGATTGTGATATGGATACGATGTTACATGTACCCATCCCTGAATTGTAACACTTTCCACAATGTTCAATGTGTGCACCGCTTATGTACATATTGAATTCGCACATTTATACTACATTTTACACAACATTTGCGAATAACATCACTTGACCAACCATAGATTAGTGGCCGCTGGGAAAGACTGTATCCTGCAGTTGGTGCAAAAGATGGAACATCACACAAATTAGTTCGACCAATGGATAAGCCACAGAACAATTCTATTCTGGATACTGTCACTTCCACGCTATGAAAACACATTCAGATGGCGATGTTTGTATAATTCTAACGCTTAAGATATCGTGCAATTCCCACTGAAACGTTACTACATATTATACAAATGAACTTGGCGTCAACAGTGACAGTAGTGATGTCCTGCTTTCACACCATGTACCAACACTTACTAGTATATCTTGAAAAAATCGCTTCTTTGTCATTGGTTGAAAAATTAACACTAAAATAGAGTATATGAATGAAGTAACTTGTATTGTGTTTTTTTGTTGTTGTTTTTTTTGTTTGTTGTTTGTTTGTTTTTATTTGGTCTTTATATAAATTATGTTAATACATGTATTGTCTCCATCTTAAATGTGTTGATGGTTTATAGAAATACTATAACTAGCATATGTATGTAAGAAAACCCGCTGTATTACAGTTTTAGCATATTCATATTTTTATTATTTACGTTTTGAGAAAATCCCCAAATTTATTCCGTATTACGAAGTCCGTTTACGAAATCCGTTTAAGATAGAAAGGTCTACAATATATAAGGCTATTTTATCTCCTACATAGGAGTAACGTGGAACACTCGACGATTATTATTAATCAGAAAAGTTGAGATTTGTTCCGTTATCGGAATACACCGCCTTTTATCATTGAGATAAATTGTAAATGGCGGCGCCTAGCTAGAACTGACACTGAAAATTTCATTGATAGGTATAAAATTCTATATATTGTTTTAAATTGTTTTTTTATTAGATTTTCCCGTGTAGTCTTAACCGGGTAAGCCACTTATTTGGGGTAATCTCAGAGGCAGATAACTTATACAAATGTACATACATCTGAAAAATCTTATTTCCTTTTGTAATGTTTTTCAGTATATTTTTTCATATTTTCAACAAAAAAATCCATGAAATATTTCTGTTACCTTTTTCATAAGATGTAATTTTAATTCTTTTAAAATATACCATTTTTTAAATCACATACCATTTTCTTCGATGAATGCCACAATTAAAGCAACAGAAGAAAACTCAATATTCTGTTCTTTACCAGTTACAAATACTGAGAAAGTTAGCTAACAAAAATAAGAAAAATGGATCCTGTGATAAACTTGAAAACGAGATCGATGAATGGTTTTCTCTAAAGCAAAGAACATTTTTAATTCTGACTCCAAATAGGTCCTAAAATGTTATCGTTACAGTTGTTTCTTTTTAGTTTTGGCTGTAAACTCAACTTATTTTGGAAATGTGATAAACGTATATTTTCTATTACTTAATTCATTTATTGAGTCGTTGGTTAAATAAAGTAGTAATATTTTATCAAACGTGTTCAATATTTCAGTACTGAACCCTAAGCGACCATGCACTGCACAGTTTGAGTTAAACCTGGACACTTAAAGACTGTTGTTTTCTTATTTCTCATATTAAGTTTCTTTTTAACCAAATGTAGGATTGTTGGCGTCCGCACCGAATGAAAAAGGGCAACTGCAACTTCTCGGGCCTTTTCGTCAGTCATAACAGCCGATCATTCCGATTAACATGAGGGTGTTTGATTATCAAAAATGAAAGGTCGCGATATGTTAAATGAATAGCGAACTGGAGAATTTCGCAATGCAAACATATTAAATGAATAACGAACTGGAGAAATTTGCAGAAAATGAAATGCAAACATATTCAAACAATTAATTGCTCTCTTTATAAATCTATAGAAAAAATTTACGTATGACATTTTTACGAATTGTTATATCATTTTGAAATTGAGCGAAATGTTGATTTGCCGAATACTGTGACATTTTAACAACAGAAACTTTCGTCTGCAATTTTAACATGAGTTATTATGGGTTTTACTAATAGGAATGTAAACATACGGGTGGGTCAGGAAAGGTTTTTGAAGTAATTCATTAAAATAGTAGATTGATCCCCCTCCAATAAACCAATTAACAGACTTATTTCATTTTGACTACTATTTTGTATGTTCCAACGAAAATGCCACATGAACTTGAAATTCTATCAAATAACCAATGTTAATTATGATATCCACTTATAAACTTATACCATATAGGGAGGTATATTTTGGATATTATAAACCTGACTAACAGTGTACAATATAAAAGAGGAATGTCCAATCATTCCTGTTTATTATGGCTCTTTTGGTCATTTCAGTGGTTAAACTGGTACATAAAAATCAAGGCAAATTTATATAAATGGACATTTCTTTATTAAAATCATTGAAATATCAAAAGCAATTTTATTAACAGATCAAATATTTACATACACAATTCACATTTCTAAATTAACTTCTTATATATCTAACACTTCTTGGCAACAATTATTCTCCTACTACATCATGTTCGGGTACCGAACATTTTGTGAAATGAAAAATAAATGAATTACTTCATTGACCAGACTAAATCATCAAATCAAAGTTTTAACTAAAAATGTTAGGGCACCGAACAATTTCCAAATTAAAACAAAGATTAACTGACAATAGGCCAAAGCATTAAAGACAAGTTTTCATTAAAGATGTTAGGGCACCGAACATTTTGCAAATTAAAAAAAAAGATTTACTGATGATAGACTTAAGAGTTTAATCAATGTTTTTACTAAAAATGTAAGGGCACCGAACACTTTCCAAATTAAAACAAAGATTAACTGACAATAGACCGAAGCATTAAATACAAGTTTTCATTTAAAAAGTTAGGGCACCGAACAATTTCCAAATTAAAACAAAGATTAACTGACAATAGGCCAAAGCATTAAAGACAAGTTTTCATTCAAAATGTTAGGGCACCGAACATTTTGCAATTTAAAAAAAGATTTACTGACGATGGACGCAAGTGTTTAATCAATTTTTTAACTAAAAATGTAAGGGCACCGAACAATTTCCAAATTAAAACAAAGATTAACTGACAATAGGCCAAAGCATTAAATACAAGTTTTCATTCAAAATGTTAGGGCACCGAACATTTTGCAATTTAAAAAAAGATTTACTGACGATGGACGCAAGTGTTTAATCAATTTTTTAACTAAAAATGTAAGGGCACCGAACAATTTCCAAATTAAAACAAAGGTTAACTGACAAAAGACCAAAGCATTAAATACAAGTTTTCATTCAAAATGTAAGGGCACCGAACAAATTACAAATTGAAAAAAGATTTACTGAAAATGGACTTACAATAAGTGTTAAATCAATGTTTTAACTAAAAATGTTAGGGCACCGAACAATTTCCAAATTAAAACAAAGATTAACTGACAATAGACCGAAGCATTAGATTAATACAAGTTTTCATTCAAAATGTTAGGGCACCGAACAATTTACAAATTAAAAAAAAGATTTACTGACGATAGACTTAAGTGTTCAATCAATGTTTTAACTAAAAATGTTAGGGCACCGAACAATTTCCAAATTAAAACAAAGATTTACTGACGATGGGCTTAAGTGTTGAATCAATGTTTTAACTAACAATGTTAGAGCACCGAACAATTTCCAAATGAAAACAAAGATTAACTGACAATAGACCAAAGCATTTTTAAAATGTTAGGGCACCGAACATAACTTAACTTCCATGTGGCCCACAATATTCAAACTTCATGGGATGATTGTCCATATTGGATAAAAGACCCCTATTGATTTTGGGGTCACAAGGTCAAAGGTCAAGGTCATTATTACTTTAAAACTGAAAAACAGTTTCCGGAGCATAACTTAAGTTCCATGTGGCCCACAATATTCAAACTTCATAGGATGATTGCCCTTATTGGATAGAAGACCCCTATTGATTTTAATATCACAAGGTCAAAGGTCAAGGTCACTATGACTTTAAAACTGAAAACAGTTTCCGGAGCGTAACTTAACTTCCATGTGGCCCACAATATTCAAACTTCATAGGATGATTGTCCACATTGGGTAGAAGACCCCTATTGATTTTAAGGTCACAAGGTCAAAAGTCAAGGTCACTTTTACTTTAAACCTGAAAACAGTTTTCAGAACAGAACTTAATTTCTATTTGGCACATAGTGTTCAAACTTCAAAAGGATGATTGTCCATATTGGGTAGAAGACCCCTATTGATTTTGGGATCACAAGGTCAAAGTTCAAGGTCGCTATTACCTCAAAACTGAAAACAGTTTCCAGAGCATAACTTAAGTTTCATTTGGCCCACAATATTCAAACCTTATAGGAGGATTGCTATTTGAAGGAGGTCATACTTTATTTAATTTATGTAATGTCTTACAAATGCTTCATCCTTACTAAAAAAAATAAAGCACTTTCGGGCATATAATGCTCCGCCTAGCGGTGCTCTTGTTCATTTTGTAAAATGTTCTCTGCTGTATCATTTTGAATGAAAACTTGTATTTAAATGCTTCTATCTATTGTCAGTAAATCTTTTTAATATGACCGAAAGAATTTTGGGCATATTATGTTATACCCCATGGCATCCTTCCGTCTGTCCGCCCGTCCGTTAGCAATTTGGTTGCCGGAGGATGACCTAAGTTCCATTCAGCCCACAATATTCAAACTTCATAGGATGATTGTCAATATTGGTTAGAAGACCCCTATTGATTTTAGGGTCACAAGGTCAAAGGTCAAGGTCACTATTACCTAACACTGAAAACAGTTTCCGGAGCATAACTTAAGTTCCATTGGCCCACAATATACAAACTTCATAGGATGATTGTCCATATTGGGTAGAAAACCCCTATTGATTTTAGGGGCCACAAGGTCAAAGGTCAAGGTCACTATGAATTTGACACTGAAAACAGTTTCCGATGCATAACTTAAGTTCCATTTGGCCCACAATATTCAAACAAATTGAGTAGAAGACCCCTATTGATTTTGGGGTCACAAGGTCAAAGGTCAAGGTCACTATTATCTTAAAACTGAAAAAAAATTCCGGAGCATAACTTATGTTCCATTTGGCCCAAGGTCAGGGTCACAATGATCCTTACACTGAAAATTGTGGTTTCTTGAGCATAACTAAAGTTCCATTTGGCCCACAGTGTTCAAACTTCATAGGACGATTGTCAGTATTGAGTAGAAG